GCATGGCGACTCCATCCTGTAAATACTGCAGCCCCTTGTGCATAAACCACCCGTATCTGCTTTTGTCTCTGATGATGGGTTCGAGCTGGAATCCGAAACGTCAGGCTAATAAAGCTCTCGTCCCAGCGATTGTGTCTCCTTCTTCAACAATGCTACAATGAATCTAACCCCTTATCTCGAGAGATTTATTATAAAACAAGCAATCTACATGAGTCACTAGGAACTTCAGCATGGTTAAATATAGCTAAAGAACTGGTTGACCCTAATATGCACTCTTCTGGGGTCGTCAGATGTTCACAGCTTTCATTGCACGCCATGCTGTTTCCAGCATATGAAGACAGTCTACCTTTCTTTGCGTCCTGCAACCGGAAGCATGTGAGATGATGTAGAAGTATGTTGCAGTATCTCAGTTTGATCTGCCAACGAACTGCAACAATAAAAAACCGATGGGAGACCATATTACCCGTAGCCTGTATGACAAGGGAACCGCCTATTCAAATTGTCAACTCCAAGAGACTGGCGTGACTAATAGCTTCAGACTTACAGTCTGCCCAGGTGGGTTTTATGTCAGAATCATTGTGCGATCCGCAAACGAAAAAAAAGTTTACTCCATTGTCTGGGGGTGGCAGGATAATTTGTTGGTACAACAGCTAATCGAACAACTTCCGAACCTATATATATATATATGTTGAAAAGAGATGGGTTCTTTGGGACAAGAGGGTTTATTGCGTAAATTTTCGACGCTGGTTCCCCAGGTCGTCGTCAGCCGCAAGCGGAAAGCAAATGTGAAAGCGAGAATCAGCTAACATCAAGAGTGCACAAAAAAATCGATGCTTGCATGGCGTGTGCGTCGGTTGGCGGCCGCCGTGTATCAGCCTGAGCTGGTTGGCTCCCTTCTCTTCCATTTCTCCTTCAGGTTTCTGTACACGGCATCCAACTCGATATGCCGGTTGATGCATGAGTCATCAGAGTGCATCGCCTCGAGGAATTCTCGGCCTTTCTTGAAAGGGCAGACCGCGACAACGCGAGCTTTGTCCCAAGCGAAAGTGTGCCCGGTGTCCAGCGTATGCATGGCTACCTGAGACAGATGGTCTCGCCTCTTTACTGCCAACTGGTGCTCATGGATGCGTGTTGAGGCGGATTTTCCAGTCTGGCCACAATAGACGGCAGTACATGCATCACACGGTATCTTGTAGACGACCTCTTTTTTTGTTCAGCTGGTTAACCCTATCCGTAGGATGTACCAGCTGAGAGCGCAAAGTAGTTGTAGGTTTGTGCGCTACTCGAATTTGGTGCTTCCTTAAGTGTCTTTCGACAAGTTCAGACACATTCTTGATGTAAGGAAGAGTTCGCCATGTGCTTAGTTCAGGCGTCTGATTGGAACTACCCGGCTCCTTCTCCCTTGATTCTCGCTGCCTCATGCATCTGCGTACAAAATCCTTAGGGTATCCATTTTGCGAAAATAATTCTTTCAAGTAGTTCAGTTCGGCTCGATAGCCTTCTTCATCCGAACAATGTGTTTTTGCTCGACTAAGCAGACTGTTTACGGCACTCCGTTTGTGAGAAATGGACTGGTTGCTCTTAAAAGGTAGAATTACTTCAGCGTAAGTTTCTTTTCGGTAAACGGATGTGCGTAACGTACCGTCGGCCTTACGCTGCACGAGAACATCCAGAAATTGGAGTTTGTTGTCCACTTCCTTTTCAATTGTGAATTGAATCCCCGAAATTGTTGAGTTGATGGTATTGTGGAGCATTTCTAGTTGGTTCTTTTTTACGATAACAAATGTGTCATCCACATATCGCAGCCACAATTTAGGAGTACATAACGGGAGTGCCGTCGCCTATAGTTTCTGCATTGTTATTTCAGCGAGGAAACCAGAAATGGGTGACCCCATAGGGGCTCCCTTCAGTTGCTTGTAGCATTGCTGGTCGAATGAAAAGTTAGTTTCCAAGCATAAACCAATCAGTTCGAGCACCGCGGCGGCGGGCACATCAGTGTCGTAGCACAGTAGGAGGTCCTCGGTGCATTTTTTTGCGACATCCAACGGTATTGACGTAAACAGGGAAACGACATCAAAAGAGACCATTATCTCATCGGAGGAAATTGTGATCCCTTGCAATTTCTTCAGGAATTCGGTCGAGTTTTCTATTGAAGTTTCACAATTCTTCGTGAGAGGATGAAGTTTCTGGAATAACCATTTGGAAATTTTGTAGTTAGGCGCACCGATTAGTGATACAATCGGTCTAAGTGGGACTTCGGTTTTGTGAACTTTAGGCAATCCATAGATCTTCGCGATGGTCGGCTCAATTTGCTTGAGCGATTTAGCGATGTCTTCTGACAGTTGTTTCTTCCCTGTGAGACGCTTCAATACTTTGTCAATGGATGAAGCTTGCACTTTGGTGGGGTCTGTGGGGAGTGGTTGGTAAGTAGATCTGTCGTCTAATAATGACAGCATTTTCTCTTTATAGTCCGTCTTGTTCAAAATGGCAGTAGAGCCTCCTTTGTCCGCGGGAAGAATGATAATATTTCGGTCCATTTTAAGGCCTTTAATCGCCTTTTTTTCTTCAAGTGATAGTACCGTAAACTGGTTCCGGTCTCTTAAGGCTTGCACAGTACTATTTCGGATGATAGACCGTTCGTCTTCAGTGAGGTTTGCTGTCGAAATAATGGATTCCAAGGTTGCAAGAAAGTCCAAATAGTTCGAGTCGGAAAGATTGTACTTCAAACCCTTGGACAGCACACTCTCTTCTGTTGTCGTGAGGACTCTGGAGGATAGATTTACGACTTTCTTTGAAAACTGCTGAGCTGTATCTGCCTTCTGTGAAATGGTCATCCATTTTCTGTCTAAATTACTCCTCTTCTTTTGTCTTTCGAGTTCAGAAACGTGTGAAATCGTGTCGTTCAGCGATTCAAATAAGCGTAAAGGAAGCTGGTCTTGACAAAATTGCCTGTGCCGCACATCCGTTTACCGAAAAGAAACTTACGCTGAAGTCATTCTACCTTTTAAGAGCAACCAGTCCATTTCTCACAAACGGAGTGCCGTAAACAGTCTGCTTAGTCGAGCAAAAACACATTGTTCGGATGAAGAAGGCTATCGAGCCGAACTGAACTACTTGAAAGAATTATTTTCGCAAAATGGATACCCTAAGGATTTTGTACGCAGATGCATGAGGCAGCGAGAATCAAGGGAGAAGGAGCCGGGTAGTTCCGATCAGACGCCTGAACTAAGCACATGGCGAACTCTTCCTTACATCAAGAATGTGTCTGAACTTGTCTTTCACTGTCGTCGCTACAGAGTGTTTGAACACGTTGAAAGAGAGTTCTGACACAACTGCGTTTATGACCAACAGGGTGGTTGCTTCGGAAGTGGAGGATGCGCCTAGTATTTGTTGCCTTACGGTAAACCATTGCCCTTATCTTCCCGTCTGTCAATCTCGTAACTTGTACGTCCAGGAAGGGCAACTGATTGTTTACTTCCTCTTCCACAGTAAACTGAATGTCGGGGAAGATTGAGTTCAACAATGTCTTGAAAGCCTTCACCTCGCTCCTCTTGATTACAACGAACGTGTCGTCCACGTATCTGGCCCAGAACTTCGGGGGGTACGAGCTGAAGACCTGCTGCTCGAGTCTCTGCAAAACTGCTTCGGCAATTAGTCCAGACAGAGGCGAGCCCATCGGTGTCCCCTTCTTTTGCTCGTAGACTTGGCCGTTGAATGTAAAGAAGGTCTTAAGACACAGTTCTAGGAGCTCGATGATGTGTGCTCGTTTGAGCTGTTGGTCGGTCTCATCAAACTTTTCCCGGAGAAAGCCATCAATAGTGTCGATAGCCAGCGCGGGTGGGATGGAGGTGAATAATGAGATCACGTCGAATGACACCATCACCTCATCTGCCTCCACCTCGAAATGTTTGATGCGCGTCAAGAACTCTTCAGCCGACTTCACGGTCCACTCCGAATCCTTGGTAAGGAAACAAAGTCGCTGGTACAGCCACTTTGACAGCCTAAAGGTTGGAGTACCACGTAAGGATTCGCCCTCTCTTCTTCGTCTTCTTCGGGAGATGATGAACGCGATACAATGTCTGGACCTCGAATCTTTACGCATATCGATATATATATATATATATATCAGAGGGGAGACGACAGAGTCTGGGGGTAGATTGATACAGCACTGTTTCGGGCTTGTTTGCCTTCATTCAGCTAGTCATAACCCTGACCACGAGCAGCTGGTACCGGAAACACAAACATGCGCTCAGACGCACCTGGCGCAGCTGGTCCACCACTGGGTTCTATCAGATGGGTCATAAGCACTTCATCGAACCGAAGTTCATCAGTGCCTCGCCACCTGCCATTCTCTGTCGCTGTGGTTTTAAAAAAGTTTCTAATTGCCGAAAAATTTGGAGCCTGATTATTCGTTGCATTAGCGCTTAGTGATTACACTCTACAAGGTGCATGCGTTCCGCGTAAAGAAAATCCCATATTTTTCTATGTCATTAAATAGATATCATACAGGGTCCCTTAAATTTTGCAATGGATGCGGACCATGTTGTACATTTCACGAGGAGCAGTGGTAAACGGCCAGGTACGATGCTATGTGAATGGACATATCGCGGTCTTATAAAGTCTCATAATTAGAAACTTTTTTAAAACCTAATTATGCTTCTTCCTTAAGTATAAAATATAAAGAAGACGTGATTCTCTATTGATTGACTAAAAGAAAGCATATATTTGTTTGTGGTTTCTATAAAATATATTTGAATTTCAAAGACCATCGAAAATCAGTGGGAAAAATGCATGCTACCTAAGTAGTCATTTTTTACCGAGCACGCTTTCTACAGGAGATTTAAAGAAGTGCATTTAAAAGTCGACATCCTGCCGAGTCCAAAATGTTATAAGAGTATGCCTTAAGATAATCAATATCACAACCGCGACCAAGTAATCTCTCCTAATCGACAACGCATTTCAGAATTTCAGCCAACATTTCATGAGATAGGTCACGCACTGTATATACATATTTCATGGGCTCTGTAAATCACATTTATTTGTAGACATCAGCCAGTAGGTCCAGCATGTCATGAGAATCTCGACGCTGACATACGTCTGATAGTCGGTCATGTCGGTGGAAGATGAGGGAAGTATTTGTCGGGGCGCAAGAAAGTTGCTAAAAAGAAGCAGACAATAGTGAAGAAGTACCGACAAAGGAAGACTGAAATAGTCATTTTGGGGTGCTTGTCGCCACTGGTCAGCCATACCCAAGCCCAGAGCAGGAAGATCGGACATCTGAACGCTGGTCCAGTTGGTCAGAGACGCTGTCTCTCAAACAGTCGAGCCACAAACGGGCTTTCTGTCGGTTACAGTAGGAATGCTCAGAGCCACGTAAGAATGGCGGGTACTCATTTAACCCAACTGCAAGGCTGAATGAGGATTTTATGTCTGCCTTAAAACTGCAAAGCGATGAGAAGGCATTAAGTGGCAAGTATTACCCACAGCGGGAAAGAAAGACCAGTTAACTACTCTTGACCTGCTTGTCGCTGTCGCGCCGACCGGAAAGAATATCTGCGCCGACTTGAGTTTAAAGCTTCAAGGCCAAGCAAAACGCCATTGTGATAAACGGCCTTCAGGCCAGATCTGAGGGCGCTCCTGGCACCTGTCTTAGGGAGTCGATAGACTATATTAGACAATCAGACAAGGGTGAAATAAGATAGACTCTACTAGACAATCTGCCAAAGGTGAAGTAAGAGCAGTCATCAAAACTGGCAGATATTTTTTGGCAAACATATCGGCCTGTTATGGAACCATGGTATGTTGTACCTCGAAGAACACTCGAAGCAGCTGCATACAATAAGCTAAAAGTGTATGCACTCAAGGAGCTACAAAACGGAACTAACTGGAGTGAAACTAAGGCCGCTGTTAGGGTAGTATAATCAGCTGGAAACTCCGTCAACATTTTCGGTTATTCAATGGGACCCTGGGATCCACTTCTCGGCCATACTCAGAGAATACATTTCGAATAAATATAATCCAAAAGGGTATTACGCAAGCGGAGGTCCGTTTTGGCAGCCTAACGTACCGGCTTTAACGAATCAGAAATTTTCTGGGTGGATTCTTCCGGGTCTGCGTTAGTGAGGACGTCAGGAACCGGCAAATCACCCGGAACTGTTTCAGAAGCTAGTCCGGCCTCCACTTCAGTTTCCTGAATGGGTTCCAGCATTCTGAGGGCCGCTCCTACATCCGCAAACGCCAGAGAAACCTGTCTAGACCTGTTTGAGACAGGAAATTGGAGCAGGGATTGCTTTTCCTCCAAGTCAGCCATCTCATCTGGGCTTGGGAGGTCAACTTCAATGGGCCGCAGAATGATGGCCGCACTGAAGAAGACGCTGGCAGTGATGAGAGCGTAAACCAGTACGGACTTGCGCCAGTCCATAAATTCCATCAGTGTACTGAGAACGAGAGGCACTAGGATGTAACCGACACCGTTGCCAGCAGCTGCTATGCCAGAGGCGACGCCTCTGTACTTCTCGAAATAGTAGGTCACCGACACCATGGCGCAAATGCAAACAGCCCCGAGACCTAAACCTAACGTCAAAAACAATCGTTACTTAAAGATATAAGTAGGCATGTGATACCATTTTTCGAAATTTAGTGGGTCTTGGTGATGACTAGAGCCAGCAGTGTCCGCCTCATCTCTACATTAATTAGATGCCTGGGTGAAGTAAAAAGATCCTAGAACGTATAGCAATGGGTTATTTGTCCTCCCAATTCTGATATTGGATATGGCCTATTGACAACGTTCTTAGTCTAAGGCACTCACAGGCAGTATTGGCATGTCCGGCTTATGAAAGCGAAGAAGGCAGAAGTGGCCACTCGGTACCCCGCCTTGCCTGTGTTACCGGTCATCATGCGACTACGCACGAGCATTGAGCAGCAAGGCGTAAGGGGATGAGTACCTCCTGTAATCTGATCGGCGAACACGCTTCCTACGATAGTGTATACTCTTGATCACAACTGACTGGATAACGGATCCGTGGTTCAGTGGTAAGCGCGTTCAAATTGAAATGATGAATGACCAAAGACTCCGCGTTTGAATCCCAGACCACCCATACCCGCAGTTGCGTGTGGTTGGCCGACGATGGCAAATAAGCCAGACACGGCTATCCTAGTCTCCCTTGTCTTCGCAGCACCTCTTCCCAACCCCAAACCTGCGGAAAGCCAAAAGAGAAGATCCTAGCCAGGAGGGGTTCCTACGTGGTCTGACACTTCTAATGACGAACCGGTCGAAATCCACCCCAGAAAGAAAGCCTCCGGATTACAAGACCCCCTATGAGGTTCGCGGGTCACATTCACAACCATGCTTGTCTTTTGTAAATTATCTGTGCTGGTAGTGGGTGTGTCCTTAACCTGTGTTAGACTGCAGGTGGCGCTTTTCCCCTTCTCGTTGTCCGAAGTGACGTCTGGTGGGTCTGGCATTGCCTGAAATGCACTCAGGTTTAACCCTTGGCCAGATACTGAGGCACATTTACTTAATCGGCAGGCAGGTCGATGCGGTAATTGGTCGAGTGGTTGTTCGACCATCATGCCTTTTTCAACAGCCCCAAACTGTGGTTGTCAGCCCAGCCTGATGGAACCGCCCCTGTTTGAACAACATTCTTCGATTACTGGTTTCATTGCAAAGAGCACCTCGGTCTAGACTTCAGACGAAAGTGGAGCAGGTGCAATCCGTCTCGTAGCCATGTGTTGCCATGGTTGCACTTCATAAAAAAACGTAAAGTCTCCCAACAATTACAAAATGCATTCATCCTTTTAGGCTGAAGGCTGATGACATTGACGTAATTTCGTGTGAAGCGTGTGGGTCAGGCTGGATAAAGTCAGCTATAAGCCAAATTTCCTTCGCCCAAAACTATTTGCTACACCGGCGTCTCAGGTAAGTGTAAATATGCCGCGCAGAGGGTTGTTTGCTGCATATGAGTGTGCGTTAAATTAAAATTTTATGAAAGATGTAGCATATGGGATCTTGAGGCATCCTTTTGAATAGAGAAGATAACCGTAATTGAAAAATTATCAACACACCGGAAAAGAAGCCAAAGAACGCAATAACCCCAGCAATGCCTTTGAACTGGCTCCCCGCTGCCATTGATAAGCCGCCTAGTAAACCGCCGATAGAGGCGACCCAACGAAAACCGAAGAGATTCACGAAGGGACTCGCCAAACCAACTGAAAGAAAAAGATTTCCCTAAGGATCATCTTCAGATGGGGTTGGGCTTGAGAATGAAGCAAATTTTCTACTTTAAAAGTATGGGAACTTCCAAAGAAATGGTTCAAAAGATAATAACATAATATAGCGGGCGTTGGAGTGTATCTGTTTATAGAGGACGAATTTATCATTTTGAAAATTATCCAGAGAAGGAAGCTGTGAAAAAATCAGAAAATTAAAAATGATGTTTTGCCATTCAAAAAAGAAATGGAAATTCGTCCAGCGTTACTTTTTTCTAGGGCACCCCAAAAATAAATTAAAAGCCGCGGAGGGCTTTTGCAACCAAATAAAAACACATAAATCCACGAAATACTTTTCAGTTTCGAATTACGGTTTTTGAGATTTGGGTTCAGCGATCTGCTTGTCAGTTTATCTTAGTTCCGCTCGTTTGGCGACTTTATGATGCGTACATTGCCCTCTGTTCAAGCACTTATCGCTAGTTAAGCAACTGGTTTCGGTAAGCAAAAGGTTTGGAATTTCAGAGCCTCGGTGCGCTACAACTTTATCCAGTGGCCATTCAACTGGTTCTCTAACAAAAATCGTAACAGAGAGCGGGTCACCCTGAAGCAAGAATGTTGCAAGTTACTTTCACTCATCCAGTTAATTTAAACACCGACACTGCTACTTAAGCTGTCATGTAAAACGGCTCCAAAAAGAACGCACTGGACATATTTCCAAGGCGGTTATTCTGCTGAATGGATGAACACGCTAAATGAAGTAAATAAAGAGGCAAATTAAAGATTCCGCTACTTTAGGTAAGAGAGAGGGGTTGTGAAAATATATTTTGTTAGTTTGTACTGGTTAACAAATCCTGGAAAAACGCCTATACCGACGAAAACGCAATTTTTCAATACACTCGATCTTCATGGGTGGGCGTCTTGTACATTTATAGGGTTGACCTATCTCTGTCAATAGCCGAAAACGGCGCGTTCAAGAGAAGGGTCTGTTTCAAATTAGGCGGAGCTTTTCACTTCCACTACTTTTCTGTCACTAAACTGTCCCGTAACCGGACAAAATAAGTCACGGTCGCAGAGCGAGAAATTACAGAACAATATGGCCTCTCCACTGATCGAGTCGCTATGTTCTTGTCAAATGGCGAAGTCGGGGAATTTGGCCATTCGACCAACTGGGTCTAAGGGCTGAAATGAAACAATATGTCCGACAGTGAACACAAGAAGTCTACCAAATGGAAACTCCACACAGCGGAGCCATGAAAAGGCGAGAGCAGCGTCCGTATCAAGGGCAAACTGCTAGCGTGTAACAACGGGCCTGAAGTAACTACAAAGGCAGAAGCGTTCGGTAGCAAGCACCCCACAAACAGATAGAAAGTTAGATTGAAAAACGCATTCAGAGAACATGCTCTCTCCCGCCGTACACCTTCATTTACTGCAGTCAGACATTCGGGACTTCTAAGTGGAAGCATACAATATATGCTGAAATGCCAGTAGAAACTGTTACCTCAGTGGGGTTTCAAAGGTGATTTCGGGTCACACAATTCTAAGTCATTTACTACACTGGTTTATGCGTGAACATCGTTTCAACCACCTGGGTGAATGTAGTTTGGACAAAAAATCTCCAAAGATCTTCAGTGGTACCTCATGCCTCTATATATTCAGTCGTGCAGCATGGAGAGGACACATAAGAAGTCCATTTACTACGCCTATTTTACAGGCTATTGCATATTCTTTAAACATTTGCTCATATGAGGCAGTCATTCTAGGTTTTCAACGTTAATTCACGTCCGCATACTTTAGAAGTGCCTTCAAAGTTCTTGCCTAAGCGTTCCAGATCGCATGAAATGAATGTTTTTTCCTAGTGTAGTTATCGCCTCTGGTCAAAAAGAGGCTCATTTCAAAGTCAAAATGCAACCAAGAGGGGAGTAGCCGTGAGTTCAGTTCCAATTAACCTCTGATACAACCTCAGGTAGGCAGTCTTTTTCGTCCAAAAGTTTGTCGAAAACTCCACTCCAACTCGCCTGAGCCTCAACATATATTATACAACGATAAAACGGCTAGACTGCGGTGAGCGTTTTATGATAAAATCGACTCTAACAAACTTTATTATCTTTCCGCTCGTAGAAGCCGCGGATGCACTGAGAAACCGGCTGATGAGCTGCGCTGGCCAACGAAAGTTTTGGCCTTTGACGCAGGGACCGGTTGTAATCGCACCCCTTTTTCTTGAGCAATGCATCATACCTGAGGGTCACTGTGACCGGTGGCAAGTCAAGACACAAAGTTGGGGAGTTCCTTCTTCCTGGGAGGATGGTGAGGGCCAACGTTAAGAGTTGTTTCGTGGTTTAGAATTACCTCAACGATATAGTGAGAATGACATTCTTCACTTTAAGGAGGTCTTCTCTCATTTTCCCTTACACAGCATTTCTCGAATCAAGCAAGCAGTCAAATACCAGAGGTCGTCCCACAGTATCTGTTCTACCTCGATAAAGGTTAACCAGAATTCTGAAACGTATTTTTGATTCGGAAGGACTGCTTATGGGAGGTTGTAATATTGATTATCGTATAGCGTAATTTTGGTCACATCAGAGTGTCGGCTTCTGAACGAGTTTCTGTTAGGCCGTCTGCAAACAGATACTTGGCAAAAAAGGGCTGCACAAAATAACATTACCATCAAAGACAAGGGAGACTGGAATGGCTATTTCTGGCTTTTGTGCCGTCGTCAGCCGATCATATCCCATCTTGAAGTGTGGAACACCTGGGACTCGATCGTGCGACCTGTTGATTACAAGTCCAACGCCCCTAACCACGGAGCCAGGGGTTCGTTGTCCTGCCGGTTGTGACCGGGTATATAGAGTAGGTGGGCGACTCATGAAATGTCAACCGAAATTCCGAAATGCGTTCTCGTTTTGAAACGATTAATTAAGTAGGGTTGTAAAACTAATCAGTTTGCAGTATAATTCTATAATAATTCAGTTACCTCAGGATATCGGGTTTCGAACGAATTTCCTTCCGACTGCATACAAAAACTACACTCTGTAAAAAATGACTACTTAAGTAGCATGCATTTTTCTCTTTGATTTTCGATGCCTTTAAGAGTCCAATTATATTTCATGGAAAACATACGTAAAAATATTCGTTCTTTTGCTCATTCGGTAGATAATTACGTCTTTTAATTTTTTACTCGAAGGAGGGACATAATTCGGTTTTAAAAAAGTTTTGTAATTGTGAGACTTTTTAATACTGTGAAATAGCCGTTCATAAGACGTCATGTCTCCGCATTTACCAATGTGGCTTGTAAAGTTGACAATATGGATCTAATCAAATGCGAAATTTTATGAACCCTATATGGTCTCCTCTCAATACCGTAGAGAAATGTGTGGTTTTCCGTACGCGGAAAATACATGGCTTGTAGTTTGGAAACCCTGAATGCAAGTGTGACAGCAGAGCGGGTTCAAAATTATTCGGGAATTGGAACAGTTTTCAAAAACCGAATAATACCCTTCCTTCGAGTACAAAGTTAGAAGAAAACGTAATTTTCTACCGAATGAGCAGAATAATGAATATTTTAGGCATGTTTTCCATGAAATATACTTGGACTTTCAGAGGCATCGAAAATCGATGAGAAAAGTGCATGCTACTTATGTAGTCATTTTTTGCAGAATATGGCTTTTGCATGCATCCAAAACGAAGTTTATTCGACAGCCGACATCCTGAGATAACTGAATTATTATGGGATTATGCTGCATGATGATTAGTTTAACAACCTTACTTACAGTACCTGTGCTAACTCATGAAATGCCGAGGTCAAAATAATAGTGGAAAGTGTAGCGTATTTTTGGTGTCGTTATTTGTGTTTATTTAGTTGAAATAAGGGCGAAAAGACCGTTTGCTGAAGGAAAGTTTGATATGGATCTGTATATTAAATAGAAAACGGGCCGGATTTAGGCGAAATCGGAGGATTCCTGATATTCAAGCAGTTTCCTACGCTATTAAAGCTTTCGGATAGAAATTCTTTGTGTTGCCTTATTAATTTGTTTAAGAAAATTAATAAAAGGACGAAATTTTTCAATAAACTTTCGAACAAAAAGAAAAAATTAAATTTCAATATCAAGAAAATCAGGGAAATGCAGATAAATTATTTCTTATTGTTTTCAGGAAATAACGTGCGATTCTTTATATAAAAATTCTATTTTACAAATTCGTAAAGTTTTATGTTTCAAAATACACTACACCGACGGCAACATTCAAGAACTGTCAGCGGATGATGGTTTGGATGGCTATTAAATTCGGTGAGCGGCCTGTCTGGCGGTCAACATCCGACACCATCAACAGCAAGGTGTTTATTGCAATTGTCAAGGATGCTTTCGGCTACAACGGCATAAGTCGGCGCCGAATGGATACTGTAATTTTGCAGGACAATGCACCTGTCCACCGCTCTAAAGAGGTACGAATTTGATGCCGCTTGCAAATATAATCTAACATTTTAGACAACAACCACGCTCTCCGCAATTGGCCTCGAATCCATTTTCCTCCCGGCCAACAGTCCCGATTTGAATCCTATCGAAAATCTTTTTGGAATAGTCAATAGAAATTGGCACAAAGCTAAGAAGACTCTTTCAATGCTGGAAAAATTGGACTTTATAATCAATAATTACATTTTACACTCCACCATAGATAACCTCGTCATGTCTATGTCTGACAGACTTTCTGCCGTTATTAATTCCAATGGACAATCAACAAAGTACTAATTTTTTGTATCTGTTCCTGTCCTTAATTATTTTTGACCTTTTATGCGCCCTCCTCCTTTATACGCCGTCATACGCAGCCTTTATTAAGTTGGTTGTAATATAGGCGTTTCTCGATAATGTGACTTTTGTCGAAAATTATTTATTTTTATCTCAGTAAATAATATTTTCTTAACCAAAC